ATATATGTACCAGAATGTTTATTGCAGCCCAATTCATAATTGTCAAGTCATGGAAGAAGCCCAAGTGTCCATTGACCCACGAATGGATCAATAAATTGTGGTATATGTACACCATAGAATATTATGCAGCCTTAAAGAAAGATGGAGACTTTACCTCTTACATGTTTACATGGATGGAGTTGGAACATAGTCTTCTTAGAAAAGTATCTCAAGAATGGAAGAAAAAGTATCCAATGTACTCAGTCTTACTATGAAACCAATAAGAAACCTATAAGAAAGCTATAACCCAATTATAGCCCAAGAAGAAGGGGAAAGGGGAAGGGGGGATGGGGGAGGATGGGTGGAGGGAAAGTAATTGGTGGGACCACACCTACGGTGCATCTTACAAGGGTACATGTGAAATTTACTAAGTGTAGAATATAAATGTCTTTAACAAGATAACTAAGAAAATGCTGTGAAGACTATGTTGACCAGTTTGATGAAAACATTTCAAATTGTATATAAAACCAGCACATTGTATCCCAAGATTACATTAATGTACACAGCTATGATTTAATAAAAAATAATAATAAAAAGAAAGAAAAAAATTCTAAAATTCACATGGAACTAAAAAAAGAACCTAAATAGCCAACATAATCCTCAAAAAAAAGAACAAAACTGGAGGCATCACTTTACCTGATTTCAATTATATCATTCCACAACACTATATTAACCAAAACAGCATTGTGCTTGTATATAAAAGTAGACATACAAATCAATGGAATAGAACAGAGAATCCAAAAATAAAACCATGTACCTATGATCAACTGATATTCAACAAAGCAGATAAAAACAGACTGGGTGTGGTGGCTTATACCTGTAATCCTAGAACTCTGGGAGGCTGAAATGGGAGGATGCATTGAGCTCAAGTTCAAGACCAGCTTGAGCAAGAGGGAAACCCTGTCTCTATGAAAAATAGAAAAACTAGCTGGGTGCCATGGCAGGCACCCATAGTCCCAGCTACTCAGGAGGCTGAAGCAGGAAGATTGCTTGAACCCAGGAGACTGATGTTGCTGTGAGATAGGCTGATGACTCTAGCCCAAGACAAAAGAGTGAGACTCTGTTTCAAAAAAATAAAAAGAAAGAAAGAAAGAAAGAAAAGAAAACCCAAAACACAAGACCAAAAAAAAAATTATATTAGGGAAAAAACGTAATATTCAATAAATGGTTCTGAGATAATTAGATAGCCAGATGCAAAAGAATGAAGTTGGATTCCTCTCTCTTACTATACACAAAAATTAACCATTGAAGTCTTAAATGTAAGAGCTGAAACAATAGAAAACCTAGGAAAAATCTCTTCTCGACATTGGCCTATAGGCAAAGAATTTATGACTAAGACTCCAAAAGCAAATCCAATAAAAACAAAAATTAAACAAATGGGACTTAACTAAAAGGCTTCTGCACCACAAAAGAAATGATCAAAAGAGTAAATAAACAACCTATAGAATAGGAGAAAATATTTGCAAACAGTATGTCTTTCAAAGGACTAATATGTTGACTCTACAAGGACTCAAACAACTCAGCAAGAAAAAAAATAGTAAAAAGTGGGCAAATGATGGGGGCGGCACTTAAAGCTCAGTGGGTAGGCCACCGGCCCCATATACCAAGGGTGGCAGGTTCAAACCCAGCCCCAGCCAAACTGCAACAACAACAAAAAATAACCAGGCATTTTAGTGGGCTCCTGTAGTCCCAGCTACTCGGGAGGCTGAGGCAGGAGAATCACCTGAGCCCGGGAGTTGGAGGTTGCTGTGTGATGCCATGGCACTCTCTCTACTCTCTACAAAAAAAAAAAAAGAAAGAAAGAAAAGAAAAGAAAAAAGGGAACACTTCTACACTGTTGCTGGGAATGTAAATTAGCACAACAGCTATGGAGATCAGTGTGGAAATTCCTAATCCCACTACTGGGTATTGACCCAGAGGAAAAGAAATCATTTTATCAAGAAGATACCTGCACCCATATGTTTACCACAGCACAACAATCACAAAGAGATGGAATCAACCCATCAGGTGTCCATCAGGTGATGAATGGATAAGGAAAATGTGATGTGTGTGTGTGTATACACACATACATACACAGACATACCATGCAGTACTATTCAGCCATAAGAAAGAATGAAATAGGCTTGTCACCTGTGGCTCAAGCGGCTAAGGCACCAGCCACATACACCTGAGCTGGTGGGTTCGAATCCAGCCCAGGCCTGCCAAACAACAATGACAGCTGCAACCAAAAAAAAAAAGTAGCCAGGTGTTGTGGCAGGCACCTGTGGTCCCAGCTACTTGGGAGGCAGAGGCAGGAGAATCACTTGAGCCCAGGAGTTGGAAGTTGCCTGTGAGCTGTGATGCCACGGCACTCTACCCAGGGGGACAGCTTGAGGCTCTGTCTCAAAAAAAAAAAAAAAAAAATGAAATATGTCTTTTGCAGCAACCTGGATGGAACTGGAGGCCATTATCCTAAGTGAAACATCTCAGGAACAGAAAAATAAATGTCATATGTTCACATTTATAAGTGGAAGCTGAACTACGGCCACACAAGGGCACACAGAGTGGTTTAATAGACATTAGTGACATAGAGGCAGAAGGGTGGGGAGAGGGAAGGGATAAAAATTACCTATGAGGTACAATGTACACAACTTGGGTGATGGATCCACCAAAGGCACAGGCTCCACCACAATACAGTATATACATGTAGCACAATTCAACTTGTTTTCCCTAAATCTATTAAAAATAATAATTAGCCAATAAGGCTTGGTGCCCATGGCACACTGGTTACGGTGCCAGACACATACACCAAGGTTAGAGGGTTCAAACCCAGCCTGGGCCAGCTAAAACAATGACAACTATAATAAAAAATAGCTGGGTGTTGTGGCGGGCACCTGTAGTCCCAGCTACTTGAGAGGCTGAGGTAAGAGAATTGCTTAAGCCCAAGAGTTGGAGGTTGCTGTGAGCTGTGACAGCACAGCACTCTACTGAGAGGGACATAGTGAGACTCATTATTATTGTATATGTGTATATTCCATGGTTCTTCGAAGTCGAGTTATGGCATAAAATTCCAAAATCCCATCCTAACTTACTTTGAGACTTTTGTCTATCTAATATGTTTGTTAAGCTGCTAAATGATGTTCTCTCGATGAAATCCTTGATCTCCATCATGGTTGCTCCTGCCAGAGACATAGTTGGTGTTCTTGAAACACTCCATCTAGAAATTTTACAAAGAGAAAAATTAATGAAGGGGGCAAAAAATAAGGGACCAGCCCTAAAGAGGATCTATTACTGGTCTAAATGAGAACAGACTTTTTTTAATGACATTGCTTTCCTCTAACCCAATGTTTGCCAAATTTCAATGTATGTGAATTACCTGGGGTTCTTGTCAAATAAAATGTAGATTATAGCTTAGTAAACCCGAGGCAGGACTGAAATTCTACATTTCTGCCAAGCTCCCCAGTAATGTGGATACAGTTGGCAGGTCACAAATATGTACCTTGCACCTCCTCAAAAATATAATGGGAAATATTATATTTTATAAAAGCAACAAAGGAAACATCTAGAAATTTAATCATAGGTATCATCCATAACATCTATAGGAATAAAAAGTAACTATTTTAAAGCTATCATGGAGAGTCCGAATCAAGGGAAAGGATATTACCATGATCGTACATGAGATAACCTGGGGATGTAAAATAGTCAATTGTTCCCAAATTAATCCCTAAATTCAATACAAAAACAATTTTTAAAAATCAGTATTGTTTAGTTATACTTTATCTTCCTGTTCCATTCCACCAGCTGAGCTTCCGTTCTTTTCGTGGTCCCCACGCTGTCCAAGGTCTCCTTCCCCAGACCCTTCCAAGCCCCCAGAGACCCTAAGAACAGCTGCACTCACAGCAGGAAAGGCTGTAGACTCAGAAGTCTGAAGGTGAGGGTGGAAATCTTGGCTGAACTTAGAATTCTGGTTTTTCGACTTTGTGAAAGTCACTTAACTACTCAATCACCTCGTGTATAAAACGGAGACAGTAACCCCACTTCACCAAGTTATCACGCTGAGGATTAAATGAGACAAACTATTGCATACAGAAAGCCTGCTGTGCAGCCTGTGCTCCCAGACCCAAGCTTTCCTTTCCCTGTCCTCAGACTGCACAAGCTCCAGTCTAACTGGATTTACTAACGACTCGAGGTAGAACCAGCACAAGAGGGGCTCCACTCCCGTCCCCCAAAATAACATGGTTCAGTCCTTACCGAACCGTGGAAAGGTCCTCTGTTTTCACTGACTTTTCATAGTCCTCATTGCTCTTGTAAAAATTTTCCATCTCTGTCTGGTGAGAACCTGGCAAAATAAGCAATGTCACCTGCCTCCCTTGCTCCGTGCTACCTCGCCAGGACATGGTAAGCATTCAGTAAAAAAAAGCTCATTGTTAATAAATGAGTGGATTAATGAACAGATATATAGACTAATTTTGATTTGGACAAACGGAGGCAAAAGGAGGCCTCCAATTCCTTATACATGTATAATACCCTAAAGGAAAAAAGAAGAAAGTCTATTATCTATTAAAGCGTTTGCTTCAGTACTGCTTACATTAGAGAATAACAAAAACATTCCCAAGTTCCCAACCAGAGGTAATGGTTAAGCAAATGATAGTCCCACCAGCAGATGAAATACCATGTAGTCACCATGAATGAAATTTATGGAAAAATTTTAAGGAAATGGGAAAGTGCATGTGATAACATATTAATGATCTCGGCATAGAGATGTACCCAGGATTAACTCATCTAGGTTAAAAAAACAAAACAAAACTAGAACAAAACCAAAGAAATCTGCCATAGTATGATAACCAAAATGTTACATGGGGGCGGCGCCTGTGGCTCAGTGAGTAGGGCGCTGGCCCCATATACCAAGGGTGGAAGGTTCAAACCCGGCCCCTGCCAAACTGCAACAAAAAATAGCCAGGCATTGTGGTGGGCGCCTGTAGTCCCAGCTACTCAGGAGGCTGAGG